ATACAGCATCTTTGCATTCAACAAACTTGCAGACAAAATGTGCAAGATAGTAAAAAGGATGCTTGAACAAAGACTAGTCTAAAATTGCACAAGTAAAGTTGAGAGTCTATAATACAACCTAGTTCCTATGTGTTAAATCAAAACCGAACCCGCTGAATTAGCAACAAAACAATTCCACCCCTTGTTGCTTCTGGAATCCCACACTACAGCAGAAAAAAAATTTCATGCCAGCATTTATTTCTGAAATAAGTAAATAAAAATGTAGTGCAGATAAGCTGTTACTGGTTTAATTCTGCTTAATGTTTGTTAATAACAGATTTTGCTTCTTCTTCAGGAAAGGATAAGTAACTGTTCATTCTTCTGGTATTTGTAAGTCATTAGTAATGTCTTTCCCACCCTCAGCATGTTTTACAATGACTGAGGAAGGAATGCTTTGGACCTGAACAGCCTCAAGCCAATAGCAATTATCACAACATAACAAGCATACCTAACTGCTTGATCCATCAAAATGCATTCAAGAAGGCTGGGCCAAAAACCATTCATTCCACAAAACCAGAAACCTATAGAGGCCAACAAATACAATTACCCACTTGAGAAGTTAATTCCTTCTATGTATGACTACACATGCTCAGTTCCATTTTTCAGAGAGAAAGTACTCTTAAGTGACATATATATAGAATCCCTTCCCAAACAAATACCTGGCTCACAGTATTTGAGAGCTCCCAGCTCACCCGCCTCCTCTTTTTCACAGTAGGCAGTACTTGTCTGCACCATGAGTTTTTTTCCTCCAGGGTGTATCTCAAAGGGAGCACTCCAGTAGGTCTGCAGGCATATCTAAACTATACAGTGGGCCATGCTGCCAAGAAACTAAAACCAGTTTTAGAACCAGTAAAGCCACCATCAGCTACATTGTTTTCAGAACACGAACAAGTACCATGGTACAGCCCTACACTGATACCAGCTGGTCCACACATTTCTGCCTGGCTCAGACTGACAAAGGAGCTTTGTGTTCCCACAGGATGGTATGCAAGATTTGTTCAGCATACTGCCTATCTTCACTTTGTAAAAGCAGTTACAAAAATAGATTCAGCTCTTCTGTTGGTTTCCCTTTGCCTTTTTTTAAGCTGATGCAGTTCCTGCTTTTTAATCGGCATTGCTGTTATTGCAGTATCTGTACATTGCCAATCCACACTGCGCTCTCTCCCCAGAGGTAGTCTTTGCTGTGAAAAATTGTAGCACAGCCCTCAGTTTTCACCTTTGGCTATAGCCACTCCTGAAAGCAAAGGGTGCTTGCACAGAAAGAACATTTTTGAAACAGATGAAAGTGGAAGGAAAAAAGAAATACGAAGGAAAAGCCACATACCAAAAAGTCTGTATCTCCTGAACAGAGTTCAAATCAAGAACAGGGTAGAATCCATAAAACAAACGGGGATAAGGAACAAAATTATAGTAAGATTTTTGCAACAAGTCATAAAAAATTATTTCTATAATTAGAAGACATCATTATATCAACATTTAGTTTCAGCTTGGTTAACTTATAAGGCAGGTTGCATTGTTACAACTTCTAGTTAGCAATAAAAGTCTGTCTGATATTGCTTTTCTATTTTTTTTTTTCAATCTTGCAATTAGAAGACACTAGAAACAGTGCTTGACCATTTCCCTTATAACGGAGTGAGAAGTGCAAGTAAAGGTCACATTTTGTTTCCAAGAACCAGAACTTTATTCCAGCATCTCTTCAGTAAGTGTTGATTCAAAAGCTTAGCAAAACACGTAGGAAACAGGCTAATCAAAACACTTTTATTTAAGTAATAACTGTCAAAAATGCTATGACAACAGAATCTTTCACCTTTGTGAATATTTCTGTATTTTCCTCACGTTCATACGAGTTTTACGTTAAACTAACAAATTACAGCACCAGCATTGATTTAGAAATCAGCCCTTGCAAAACATATTTCAATTTTTTTTTGCATAGTGTAAACAGTAAGTTTAATTTCAAAAAATGTTTGAGATTTTAATTATGTTAAGAAATACTTACTATTACTGAGTAACTACTTCACTGTATAGGACAAAAAGAGATTAAATCCCTTCTTGACATTCTATCTGAACTTTCCAAATTATTTACTAAAAAAAAAAAAAAAAACATGCTTTCTTAAAAAAGGGATTGATGAGAGATATTTGAGAAACATTGGGAAACTTTCTATACAGCCATTTCTTCTACAGAAAGATGGACAGCATGAGCAAGAAGTTATGCACCAGGTGCTAAAAATCTTCACTGCCACTTTGTCAAGAGCAAGACTCTGTTCTCTTTTGTCTCACCACACACCTTTGACAAGCAAGTGACTCCATTTTCTCTGTACCCTCCTACTGGGTATTGCTGTCTGCAACCAGGATCTTCCATGAGCTTTCTCTTCTTCAGGCTGAAAAAACCCAGTCTTCCCAGTCCCCCCCTCACACATCGCGTGCTCCCAAACCATCTTGGTGGCCCTCCACTGGACTCACTTCACTATATCGACCTCTCTTTTTCCTGGGGAGCCCAAAACTGGGCCCAAGCTGGATCACTGGGCACAGCACTCCAAATGCTGTCTCTCAAGTATCACAAAGAGCTGAAGGATCACTTTCCCAGACCTGCTGGCTATGCTCTTGCTAACACAGCCCAGGACGCAGTTTGCCTTTTTTGCTACAATAGTACATCTCTGACTCGTGTTCAATTCTTGTCTATCTCAATCCCAAAATCTTTTTCTGCAAAGCTGTTTTCTTAGTCAGTCTGCCCACCCCCATCTTTACCACTGGCTGGGGTTATGCCAACCATAGGATTTTGCATTTGCCTTTGCTAAATGTCATATGGTTTCCCCTAGCCGTTTTTCCTAGTCTGTTAAGGTCCCTCTGAACCACAGCACAGGGTTCCAGCCCATCAACCACTTCCCCCAATTTGGTACAGTCTACAAACTTGCTGAAGGTACATTACCCCCTGTCTTCCAAGTCCATTAAAGACATTAAACAGATCAGTCCCACTGTGAAACCCTGAGAGACATTATCAGCAATCCAAGCAGTAATAGAGCACTTTCATACGCACTTGTGGCCAGAAGCATCACTATATTGAGCAGAAAGGCAGTTGCCCTCTTCACCACCTCATATTCTCACATACGGCTACCATATTTGCAATACTTGCACTCAGTTCCAGCTTCATTAACAGCCTATAAAGGAGAACATTCAATAGATAGATTTGTAAAAATTTACTTTAGCCAGAATTTGTAGCCAGTATTTTTGTTCTGCTGAACAAAAATTAAATTTCCAGAGGTCCTTAAACATATCAGCTTAAAAAGAAGTCACCTAATTTCACAAAGAAGAAACCACACTGGGTAATTTCTGCCTACCACCTCAGCATTGGGGCTTCTTTTGTTTGTTTGATTTAATATATGCATATAAACACACATAAATAAACTAAATCAAGGCATCAATTTAATAATTACTAAAAACTAGCAGTCAATTTCATATGCAATTACCAATTCCTGTCACAGCTACTGCAACTGCTATTCAGTTTTTAGTTCTCAGTTTCAGATTCTAGATGTAGACTTATTTCTACAGTTATGAACACTTAATTTTCTAAAAAGAGAAGGTATCAAAAATTTTAAGTAATTCCTTCCTTCACCGCACTCGACTTTCCCT